AGTTTGCATAAGCGTGGCTATACGCAGCCATAATTATCAGCGATTAACTCCATTGCACAAGTTAATTTACTCAGCTTAAATACAAATACGAACTAAAACTTAAGATAAGTTTGTTTCACTCACCACAGATCATCACTCGTGCTGCTTTCGAGCCATTAGGGGTCCATCAACCTCTGTTGAGAAAATAGTCCGGCTAAACTGGTGCCTGATTAAATTTAACACAGCAACTATATTATTATAATATTTGCTAAATAAATTCAAATACCTATATAGATACTGCAAATTACAGTCACATATCAAGATTGTGCGGCAGTCTTTTTTTGGGAGTGGAACAAAGCTCGCTTTAAAATAAAGGTTTTGATTGTGTTTTCAGTCCAGCTCTCTTCATTATGTGTCCCGGCAGTTTAATAAACTCCATTAATTTCGTACTTATGTAATAGTAGACAATATTAACGACAGTAATGATTGAATATAATTTACTGTATGAGTAAATTATTAAAATAAATGAATTAGCATACATTCATAATTATACCTGGGACTTTTACTTTGGAAATAGGCGGGGAACGGACTAGGGTCTTGACTGTTTTATTTCGGCCGTTTCTTGTCGTGTTTCTATTTTCAAAACCAGACAAGCCTTTGCTCAACACAAGGTTAGTAAAAACAACCGCGAACAGGTACATAATTTAACGTGACTTTAAATAGTTGCGTTGTAGTGAATAGAGAGACCGCGCTTCATGTTAGAGGCGAGCGAGTTTAAATGTAGCTGCGCGTGATCTTTGTAATGAGCCAGAGTTGCCGTTATTTACTTTCTCTTACAGCCGAAACTGCATATTAGTTACACACGAATTACTCCTATCCTCCTTTTGAATGTATTTTTTTAAATTGCAGCAATAATCAAAATAATGTAATATGTGTTTGTCTTTTGCAGTATGGAAGCTCAACCAAATCCTAATAAGAAGGGCAGGGCCGGTGGGAAGGTGAGCTCTAATAGCACCACATCAAATCAGAGCCACTCCATTAGCTTTATTCCTACCTTACCACGTGGATGTAGACCATCTGCAGACGTGCAATACTTCCCAAACAGTGGTTACTCAGTCCGCTGCTGGTTCATGAAAATGTCAGTTAAAATTCCGGGTGAAATGGAAAATTCACCTTGTCGAATTTGTAAATGCGTTATTCGGTATCATTGCAAAAGATTCATCTATGCACGTTTTTTTGACCTGGTCATTTTTAATTAAATAACTTTTTTTTTATTTTTTTTATTGCAAAACAAATTCTACACATACTTTCATTTAACAAAATATAAGTCAATTTGCTGGTGAAACGAATGACAGACTTCTCTCTGGTCACATATGCAGGACCTTTCCAATCATTTAGTCCGCTTAAACTCTGCACCTGCAAACTTACATTCATCTGCCTCCATTGTTGAGTGCCCACATTTTCAAATCCGATCAACAACCAATGCATAGAACCAAGTCCTCACATTTATTTATTTTTTGATGATCCATAACACTTGGGTATACGTCACACAAAATGTAAGAAAAGGTCTGTTGCTAATTCTGTTTCATTGCGACTTTATTTCTAATCACTTTATTGTATCTCTTCAATAACACAACTGACATTTTTACGTCAGCATATGCAAGTGTTTGGTCCAACTAGCTAATGCACTGTCAGCTCATTTAGGTCGCTAAAAGTAGATACAGGGTATAATGAATTTTGGTCATTTGTACTCTACCTAAAACTGATTATAATTGTTTTGATGAACTTAGTGGTTGAATGATTTCACCCACCTGTTTCACCCCTTAACTCTGTTATGCCATGAAGCTCAGGTTGCTGCAAACTGTCTGTTTGACGGGCTACAGTTTTATTAAAAGGAATCCCCCCTTTTCTGCATATTGTAGTCCGCTTCATCAGTCATCTTATACAGATCTTCCAGCAGAATGAGCCGATAAAGTGGTGATCACACTGTGACCAACTGTAGTTGGCATAGTGTTGGAGAAGTATGACATATTTATCATGCCTCAAATAGTTAGTCACTAAAAGATTAATACTAAAATAGTATTAATCTCTGCCCTGATGTCTGTGAGGGTTAAGAGTATTTGCAGGATCATGTGGCGTCTGAAACCAAAATAATTACATAACTATGAGAGTATTAATTAAGGGAAATAGTTAAGTGGTCAACACGCATTCATTGCAGACCTTGTATAGAAGACTAGGCTTATGTATTTTCCTAAAGGGGGTTAAATGTACACTAACTTTCAAAAGTGAAGGGTCAGTAATATTTTTTTTAATTCACTTATTTATTTTTTTGAAAGAAATTAATGGTTTTATTCAGCAAGGATGCATTACATTGATTAAAAGACATTTATATTGTTACAAAAGATTTTGTCATCGAATAAACGCTGTTCTTTTAAACCAGTGATTCTCAACCCTGGTCCTGGGCGCCCCCCAACACTGCACATTTTGTGTGTCTCCCTAATCAATCACGCCTGATTCAGCTCATTAGAAGAAACGAAATTGGTGTGTCAGACAAGGGAGACATACAAAATGAGCAGTGTTGGCGGGCACCCAGGACCAGGGTTGAGAAACACTGCTTTAAACCATTTAATTATCAGAGAATCCTGAAAAATATCACCGTTTACACAACTTCAACATTGATAAGAAATGTTTCTTGACCAAATCAACATATTAGAATGAATTTGAAGGATCATGTGACACTGAAGTAATAGCTGTTAAGAATTTAGCTTTGCATCACAAGAATAAATGGCATTTTAAAATATATTAAAATAGAAAAGTTATTTTTAATTGTGATTTTATATTTCACAATATTGTTTATGCTGTGTTTTTGATTAAAAAAAAAAAAAGCAACCGACCCCGAACTTTCGAAAGGTACTCTTTATTCATGTCCATAGTCTGTCAATGACCTGACACAGTGCTGCATTTGACCTGTAAAAAACAGATAAGAATTAAGTGGGAAAAAAGCATTCTGTTTGAAAACAGAATGTAACTTGCAGAACATGTTACTCTATCATCCCGTATATTCTCTTGTCTGCTTGATAGAACTTTATTCTTGGGGAGATTAATAAAGAACAATTGTTCTTCTAGCATTGTTCTTCTAGCACTTTGTGTCCTCCTGTCCAAGGACTTTCACCCTCTACTTTTGAAGTGGAGAGGAGAATTTAAGTGGAGGAGGAGGCGAGTGGACTCTGCTCTTCAGCTCGGGTGCTGTTATATCTCTCTAATTCCTCTCTGTTTCTCTCCCCCACCAACTATTTTATTTGTCGTCTGTGACAGAAAAAGCAGCAGCTCTTCAGTGGTGACATAGGTAAGTGCCGCCCTCAGAACCCTTCAGTTCTGCCCTTCAGCTGTGCCTGGCCTTGGAAATGTTATTGCCATGTGCCACTTCTGGGTGTTTCAGAGCTTCAACCCTGAATACAACACACAAGCACAGCTCTCAAACTAGCACCTTTTTCAGACCAATGCTTTGCACTATTTGATCTGCGGTGTGCTGAACAACATTAGAAACATCAACACTGAGCTCCTTTGAGCAACATTCGAAAAATCATGACCTGCTCTCGCCATGTGCTTTAACGTCAGGTCAAGATCCATGTATGTTAGGAGGTTGGGTATCCCACCTTTTATCCCTGTATGTCCGCTTAGGGTCATCTAACCATATTAATTGTGACACCTTGTGCAGGGCATGCATTAAGCTGCCTAAGAAAAGTTAACGTGAAATGCATTATTTCAGGTGCCTTTAGGCTTGAACTCAGTTAGAACAGTTACACTGCTGCAGTGTGATCGGCTGACATCTCAACCAGTGTGCTTTTGTCGTCGTACTGGATTTGTGGACAGACAAACAGCAGGCATCACTGCATTCATTCAAATCTGTTGAGTTTGTATATGTTGTTCAGCGTTTACGTTCAGAGAGTTGTGGCTCACTTGTCTGACCACAATTTTCATCAAGTGTGACTGTTGCCCATAGGCCTGGGGGTAACTGAATGGGTGCTTTAAGCACTCAGCTAGTTTTTTTTTTTTGTGGTGCAGTAACCACTTGGTACTGTTTCAGTAGAGTGGGAACACTGTCCTCTGTGCTTTAAGTCCAGGTTCACAATGCTTGTCCATGTCCTTTTTGATTTTACTGATTCATGTGCGTTTCATCAGTCTTCACCTCCAAGAATGGATCCATCCAGACTATACCCTGTCTGAACAAAAAGCTCAAATCAGTCACCGATGCTGTTATTGGTGAGTAATGATGTATATTTTGTTACCACTATATAAATGTAGGCTAATAGGCTTAAAATAAGGCATAACACTTTTATTGGTCCCTTACTCTAATGAAATTTATTCATGACTTAAATTAAAGTACCCCTGTTATGCCATTTTTAAAGTTCCTAATGTTTTTTTGGGAGTCTCCTACAGTAGGTTTACATGCATGCAAGGTCAAAAAAACTCAAAGTATGCATTTAATAATATCACCTCATTTTCCAACGATTTGTTCGAAGCAGTTCTAAGGTTCAGTCTCAAACCCATCCTAAATCTAAACCCATCCTTTCCATGAGCCTACTCTGCTCTGATTGGTCAGATGACCAGTCTGTTCTGATTGGTCTACTGCCTACAGCGCGTGACGGAAACGATATGCCCATTGCAATAGTTCGGTATTTTGAACGCTCAGTAGAAAATATAAACATCCAACATTAGAAACATCAACACTGAGCTCCTTTGAGCAACATTCGAAAAATCATGACCTGCTCTCGCCATGTGCTTTAACGTCAGGTCAAGATCCATGTATGTTAGGAGGTTGGGTATCCCACCTTTTATCCCTGTATGTCCGCTTAGGGTCATCTAACCATATTAATTGTGACACCTTGTGCAGGGCATGCATTAAGCTGCCTAAGAAAAGTTAACGTGAAATGCATTATTTCAGGTGCCTTTAGGCTTGAACTCAGTTAGAACAGTTACACTGCTGCAGTGTGATCGGCTGACATCTCAACCAGTGTGCTTTTGTCGTCGTACTGGATTTGTGGACAGACAAACAGCAGGCATCACTGCATTCATTCAAATCTGTTGAGTTTGTATATGTTGTTCAGCGTTTACGTTCAGAGAGTTGTGGCTCACTTGTCTGACCACAATTTTCATCAAGTGTGACTGTTGCCCATAGGCCTGGGGGTAACTGAATGGGTGCTTTAAGCACTCAGCTAGTTTTTTTTTTTTGTGGTGCAGTAACCACTTGGTACTGTTTCAGTAGAGTGGGAACACTGTCCTCTGTGCTTTAAGTCCAGGTTCACAATGCTTGTCCATGTCCTTTTTGATTTTACTGATTCATGTGCGTTTCATCAGTCTTCACCTCCAAGAATGGATCCATCCAGACTATACCCTGTCTGAACAAAAAGCTCAAATCAGTCACCGATGCTGTTATTGGTGAGTAATGATGTATATTTTGTTACCACTATATAAATGTAGGCTAATAGGCTTAAAATAAGGCATAACACTTTTATTGGTCCCTTACTCTAATGAAATTTATTCATGACTTAAATTAAAGTACCCCTGTTATGCCATTTTTAAAGTTCCTAATGTTTTTTTGGGAGTCTCCTACAGTAGGTTTACATGCATGCAAGGTCAAAAAAACTCAAAGTATGCATTTAATAATATCACCTCATTTTCCAACGATTTGTTCGAAGCAGTTCTAAGGTTCAGTCTCAAACCCATCCTAAATCTAAACCCATCCTTTCCATGAGCCTACTCTGCTCTGATTGGTCAGATGACCAGTCTGTTCTGATTGGTCTACTGCCTACAGCGCGTGACGGAAACGATATGCCCATTGCAATAGTTCGGTATTTTGAACGCTCAGTAGAAAATATAAACATCAATTATTAATCATACTTACAGGTTGTGATTCAGTGGAGCCAGCTGCTCCAAATAAACTGGTCAAGAGCAAGCGTTTTGTGAATCCTGTGTTGAACTCCCCGAGATTAAAGAAGCAGTCATCAGTAAAATGACTGGAACACAAAAAAGATTAGGGTTGTACTGCTGTGGTACAATAGGAAAAAAAAAAAATTTAACCACTGATTCTTTTACCCCGTGACGTGTAGCCGTCACAGAAGTAGGATTCGAATTGCTGAAGACTCTTTTTGGTTGTTCAGGGTCAATTCTTTCTTTTGGGAGACTTTCGGCTTTACAACTTTGCAGATCGTTTATATTCATATACAGCTACAGTACACACTTCATGAAAGGCAATATTCAAAATGGCATAATAGGGTCTCTTTAATCAAGTGTTCACAAACATCCAAAATAAATGTTTAGATAAATACTGATGATCACTGCATTTTATTTAATTTGTAAATTGTTTAATAAAAATGCATCAAATGTTTAAACGCTCTCATCCCTGTTAATTTTTGATTTTGTGATGTTTTAAATTGTATAATTTTATAATAATTTTGCTCCCTCAAATAGCCTCTATATGCTTTGGCTGATTTTTGAATGATCTTATGTTTGAATACACATGTGCTTTGTGTTCATAGGCCTACAGTACATATGGGAGTATAGAAGCCCATCTAAGTCGGTTCCACCCCATTACCAGTGTAAACTGTGTAAAGTTCAGCGGCTGCAGAATGAAATGGCTGCTCACATCACTGGCTGGAAGCACAGTTTCAAATACTTGGTATGATTTTCATAATCACAATTTTTCCTGATATCACAGATTATCTCGGTCTATGCTTTTAATATAATACACAGGCACCTTATTGTGTTTTGTTTTTTGGAACACAGAAGCAGAACCACAAAGACAAGGTTTTCCATGAGGAAGAGGCTGCACTTAAAGATCCAGCCATCAGGAAAGCCATTAAAGCTGCTGCTGCTGAAGTGGAAAAAGCTGAGGGAAGAGGTCAAATCAAGGTGAAAGATTAAATGCCGATGTGCTCTAAAGATTTTAAGTCTCACGCTAGTACTTTTTAATTACATGTTCTTGACTTTTTTTCTTTTTCTTTTTTCTTTCAGACTGTGCTAAAGGAGCCATTTGAGGTTATGGCGTTTCAGGGCATGAGTAAGTCAGTTGTCTTCTGTCATACAACATCCAATCTACAGTAGAGATCAACATTTGAGAACAATCTATAAATACTTGAGTTTTTCTGACATATTGTTAATCTTCATCACTCAAAATTTGAAGGAATATTAGCTGTAGGTATACCACTGTTATACTAACATGTTTGACAAAATAACCAAGGCATTTCAACAAATACCTTTATTTTGTGGAGAACACAGTGATCAAAATTAGAGAACAGTAACCACTGTAGCATGAAAGAAGATTACAACAAATTTTGGAGGGTTACATCTGTCAGAAATTAGTAGGAAGTTTAGAGGCCCCTGCTCTGAATGACTTCAGCACATCTGCGGCCGCAGGACATCACTAGTTTCTCACACTGTTCTGGTGTGATCTTGGCCCACTCTTCTTCCAGTCTTTTCCATATTTCGGTAACTGTAGTGGGTTTCTTAGCCATAACTTTGTTGGCAAGGATTTTTCAGAGATTTTCAGTTGGGTTTAGAATAGGGATGTCAACGATAAATCAATGATTGATTCATTGACGTTAAGAGATGTGATTGATTAAAGCTATCGATGATCGATTAAGTAATTTCATTTTGGGGTGCATGCGGCTCATGATGCGCAAAACACGTGCAAACGACTGTGAGTGAATTTTATATATATATATATATATATATAATTCATTACAACTTAATTTGTTCCTACAATTTATTAATTTGTGGCCATGGTCCATGTTTCATTCATTTGTTCCCTAGATAACCCATGATTAAACTAAAATGAGCGAACAAATTAATAAGTCGTAGGAATGAATTCTTAATTTGCGGCCACAAAATCTTTCATTTCGGCCCACGTCATCAGAATGAGCTTTATTGCCAGGTATGTTTACACATACAAGGAATTTGTTTTAGTGACAGAAGCTCCACAGTGCCAACAGAATGACAGTGACAAGACCGGACACAGATAATAAAAAGAATAATATAAAAATAGACGATGTACAAAAAAGCAAAAACACAATATATAATATAGACAATTTTGTATGTACAGGTATGATATGTGCAAATTTGAAATGTAAATAAGTATGTGTTAAATAAATAATGTATACTAGTGTTGTGTGTTCCACAATTATTGTTAAGTGTTCATGAGATGGATTGCCTGAGGAAAGAAACTGTTCCTGTGCGTCGACCAGGTGGCAACAGTTCAAAGAGGGAGTGTGCTGGATGTGAGGGGTCCAGAGTGATTTTGCTTGCCCTTTTGCTCACTCTGGATGAGTACAGTTCTTGGAGAGAAGGGAGGGTTGTACCAGTGATTCGCTCAGCAGTCTGGACTACCCTCTGTAGTCTTCTGAGGTCAGATTTGGTAGCTGAGCTGAACCAGACAGTTATAGAAGTGCAGAGGACGGATTCAATGATGGCGGAGTAGAACTCTTTCAGCAGCTCTTGTGGCAGGTTGAACTTCCTCAGCTGGCGAAGAAAGTACAACCTCTGCTGGGCCTTTTTGACAATAGACTCAATGTGATTGTGCCACTTCAGGTCCTGAGGGATAGTGGTGCCCAGGAGCCTGAATGGCCCCACTGTCGTTATAGTGCCGTTCATGATGGTGAGTGGAGGGAGAGCAGGGGGGTTCCTCCTGAAGTCCACTATCATCTCCACAGTTTTGAGCGTGTTAAGCTCTGGGTTGTTAAGACTGCACCAGACAGCCAGCTCTTTAACCTCCTGTCTGTAAGCAGACTCGTCACCATTCTGAATGAGGCCAATGAGTGTGGTGTCGTCTGCAAACTTCAGGAGCTTGACCGAGGGGTCTTTACATGTGCAGTCATTTGTGTTGAGGAAGAAGAGCAGTGGGGAGAGGACGCAACCCTGGGGGGCGCCAGTGCTGATCGTACGGGTGCTGGATGAGAATTTTCCCAGCCTCACTAGCTGCTGCCTGTCTGTCAGGAAGCTGTTGATCCACTGACAGACGGAGGTGGGCATGGAGAGTGGAGTAATTTGGGCAGGAGGAGGTTTGGGATGATAGTGTTAAACGCCGAGCTGAAATCCACAAACAGGATCCTCACATAAGTCCCTGTTCTGTCTAGATGTTGCAGGATGTAATGCAGTCCCATGTTGACTGTATCATCCACAGACCTGTTTGCTCTGTAGGCAAACTGCAGGGGGTCCAGTGATGTCCTTCAGATAAGCCAAAACCAGTCTTTCAAATGATTTCATGGCCACAGACATTAGAGCCACAGGTCTGTAGTCATTAAGTCCAGTAATTTTGGGTTTCTTTGGGACTGGGATGATGGTGGAGCGTTTGAAGCATGAGGGGACTTCACACAGCTCTAGTGATCTGTTGAAGATCTGTGTGAAGATGGGGGGCCAGCTGGTCAGCGCTGGTGTCACACCGTCTGGGCCTGGTGCTTTTCTTCTCTTGTTCTTTCTGAAGACCTGACGCACGTCATCACTGATCTGGAGTGCTGGGAGGGGGGTTGCAGGAGGTGTGAATGGTGTTTTTTCAAACATTCAAATCATGTAAAAGTCATGTAAAAAGTCTCCGTAAAAAATAAACTTGACGTGCCTTTACAAGAACAAACTGTTGAAATTGAATGTGATGAGAGATAAAGATAGGGCTGGGCAATATAGCAAAAAAATGTATCAATGATATAATGTTTCATATCGTTCGGTATTGATAATTATTGGCATTTTTTATAACCTTTTTTTAAAACAAAGAGCAATAGAAAAAAACTTAAATTTAACAACTGTATTTTTAAATTAAACCAATTTAGTGAGACAAACAACTAATATTTTTTGTTTTAACAGGCAAACACAAAATTTAAAATTAAACAAATATCTAATTTCTAATGTTTTATATGCAGATTAAATAGGTCTGAAGGAAATGTTTTGCTTGTCTCCCGAAGCCACAGGAGGGCACAATGAGCAAAATAATGCAGCGCATTAAATTGGCAACGCAAAGGAAATAGCTGTCTATAAAAAAAAAACCGTGCTTTACGTCTAAATTAACTCCTATAAATCAAACATAATTTTGTAAATTGCGTAAACAATTAAGAACAAAACAGCATCATGTATTTATGCATTGCTAAATCCAAATTCGTGACGTGTTTTCTAAAAGTTTAAACTGTTTTAACTTTGCATGTCTTTCTATACATCTCTTGTGTGAGATGTGAGAGCAGCAGTCATATTTGTCCATCTAAAAAATGCGCTGAATATGCGTTCTGTGTGAATGGCTTGGTTTCGGGTTTTAACCTAATCAAGATCTTCTATGCATTGAGCTACTATATTTCTCTAATATTTTGAATTAACGCAGCAACTGCGCGTCTTGTGGGCTAGACTTATAAAACATTAAAATGCAACAACGTCACTTACATCATCACCGCATCTCGCGCTCCACTAATGATGCTCCCAGACGCACACCTAACATTTGATTGTACTATTTTTGCATTCGAATGCAAATGTTTATTTTAAATTCGACTAATATAAAAAATGTTTTATTCACAATCTCCTCATCACAAGCAGGCACAGCACTCATTTCAGCATGTGTTTGTGTGTGCGGTCTGCATCGTGCGCTATATCGAACATTTTTTTCTATCGTTATCGAAGAGGGTGTACCGTCGATAAATATCGATACCGTTTTATCGCTTTACATTTGATACATTTTATCCCAAATGTAACTACAGCGCACTAATTTATCAAATGATTAAAATCACATCTATTTATTTTACAATCTTGCTACTAGCCTTTGATTTAGACTGCTCATACTGTCATGCTAGTGACTATATACCACTGCAATAGATGAATTTTGCAGTATTAAGGATAACGATTAATTGATCGTTAATTTAAACGGCAATCGATCATGGAAATGATAAAAAATTGACATCCCTTGTTTAAATCAGGACGTAAACAAAACCATGTCTGCATTTGTGATCGGAGAAATGACAAACAGCAAGCCCTACTCTACACTGCCCAAAAAACTCGCTTTAAATATATAAAATATAAAAACTCTTTAAATATAAAAAAAAAAAACTTACTTGCAGTCTGTGAGTCAGGACAGCCGGCATTGTGGTCTACTCTCCCAGGATCAGGAAACGGTCCTCCATAAAATGTGCTGCACACATCTGAGTATTTGGGTTGAACTGTTCTGGAACGGTGTTGTAAATACAACTTAACCACTGATTTCTAGTCGTGTCCATTTTTGGAAGGCCAAACAAAGTAGTTTCGCTTTCACAATGAAACAGCGTCACACACGGTGGCATAGAGTGAGCAGAGGCCGGGGGATAAAGTGAGTTATGATGTACTTACACAAAGTTAAAATGATTTGCAACGGTCGCTTTGTCGCGTCAGTGTAGAGCTGTTGTGGCACAACGTGACAACTGTAGCGTCTGGTATAGACTCGGTGAGTGAAGCCTGTCCTATCATCCCTTAACTCCAGTTTCCAGTGTGCTTCACCATGCACTCAAAATGAAGTCATGATTTAGCAATAGGAAGCTTTATGACCCGATAAACTGGAAAGTTTAATTATTTCTGAACATATCCACCTTATTTTTCAATGTGGAAGTAAGCTGTTTTCTGTGAATGTGTGAGACTTCCGCTTCATTAGCCGCAGTAGGGAAATAACAAGAAGAATAATGGTGCAATAAATGCTAAAATTGTTTGTGCTACAACACAGTGTGTTTCTAATTAAGACAATACATTACAAATAATATGGTAAGAAACACCAGTTTGCAATATGAAGCAGCAAAACGAGCTGTTTTGTACTGCTAAAAATAGCTGGAAGCAGGTGACACCGGAAGCCAGACACTTTAAATTTACAAATGGCCACGTCCGCTCTTACGGGACAATTAAGATGGATAGGATGTGTTTAGGGACGTTTGTACAATATTTGCCATCTTTATATTTAAGAAGTCATTTGTTTTATGTTTACACCATGTTGGGCACTTTGTGTGCTGTACTCTGTGTAGAACTTTCCTTAACTACAACATGATTCGAGTAAAATTCTTTATTAACCATCTACTTTAAGTTGACTAGTTAAATGTAAAACAAATAAAAATCTTGAATCGGTCACACATTCTGGAAAAAAAAAAGATTAAATTTTTTTTGCCATATCGCCCAGCCCTAGCCAGCCAGTTACTTACCTTTTTTTTTTTTTTTTTTTTTTTTTTTTAGAGTCTGCACAACCCAATCCAGCATTTGCAGGAGCTGCTGGTATTCTTGGGCCTCCTCCCAGAGGGTTAAAACCAGGTTAGTGCCTAACCAATGTGTTTGTTTGTGTTAATAGTAGTGAACTATCTAGAAAAGTAACTGTGATTTTAAATGTATAGTTGCTTGACTTTTTTCACACATCCTCAGGTGGTCAATATGGAGGTCCCATGTACATGGGGGATTTACCACCCCGGGGTGGCATGATGCCTAATTTCTCCCCTGGCATGCGTGCGTGTATGGATGAACCCCCCATGAGGAGAGGTTATTCAGATATGGGAGACTTCACTAGCCCAGGTCGCTATGGTAACAGCATGCCTGGACCAGACAGGGGAATGATGGAAACAGACAACATGCAACATTTCCCTGATGATGGACCCATGCGCATGGGCCCAGATGGCTTTGGGCCTGGCCAGCGTAATGAAGGCAGGGGCAGACCTTTCCCTAATGACATGTCCATGAACAGCAGTGGTGACCGATTATTGGGACATGGCCCTAAAGGCCCGGAGAACAATAGCCTCCCTGCAACACTGCTCAAATATCTGGTACTACTCTCTTTTTGAATAACAGTGCTTGTTGAAGCACTTCATGTGTTTATATTATCAACCATTTGGAGTTACTGAAATTTGTGTGTTTGTTTTATTATTAGGACTCTTTTCGTATTGAAAACGAGGACGATGCTCAGATCGTCTTGAAGGTCACACAGAAGCTCACAGATGTACTGATGGAGTATCGCCTCAGAAGTATTTCAGCGGTGAAGGCTTTCATTTATACTATACATTTATTGTTATATTTTATTTTTATTTTTTTATTAAAAATCATATTACTAGCTCAGATCAAACTCAAGAATTTAATTGGAATTTTAAATGCAACTAATTCTTAATGCCACACGATTCTGATCATCATATGAAAATATTTGACTGTAGAATATCAGTTGTTCCAGAGTGCCATGTAATAGAAACATACATAACTACAGGCTAGTCGTCTAAGATAGAGGATGGCCATTTCGGTTAATTTTCCCGACCGACAACCTTTACTTGTTATCTGGACATTAACCGTTAACTGATAAGATTAGAATAAATTATTCTTAAATAAAAATAGAATGCATGAGTGTCTGTGACTAGGCCTGTCGCAATAATCAATATATCGACTTATCGTGCAATATATGTACATGACTTCAATTTTTGGTGATGCAATATATCGCTCATTATATTTACTTAAAAATATATATATATATATATGTGTGTGTGTGTGTGTGTGTGTGTGTGTATGATTTGCAATCATGTTAATAGATGTTAAATTATAATATAACGTCTGAATCAGCAGATTTTATAGTTTAATTTCTCTTAAAACCTTCACTGAAATGCATGGGCGGCGCTAGGGAGGGGCTAGCAGGTGCTTCAGCACCCCCAATAATTTTTCCTGGAATCAATTATATACAGGCTGTAGCCTATTGTATTTTACAAATAAACTGATAAAAAAAACAATGTTCATTTCGGTTAATTTTCCTGACCGACAGCCGTTAATTGTAATCCGAACATTAACCATTAACTGATAAGATTAGAATAATAAATTAGTATTAAATAAAAATAGAATGGATGTGTGTCTGCGACCCATTAAAAGAAAAAAAACTAATAAATCACAGGTTTATTTTAACATGCAAACAGCAGCATACAGAGCAACAACAGAACCTGGATTCACACATCGTCAAATTATCACGTGCCTGCAGCGCTTCTGAGAACAGAGAAAAACACAATAAAATAACAAATAAAAAGAATAAAATAAATAGGCCTACAGTAAATATTTTTCAATTAAATAATTAACATTAAGATGACAAAACGAAAACACTGAATCCTTCTATGCACATTAAAAAAAAAAAAACTTAAATTTTTTTTCATCAGACATAAAAATAAATAGAAGGCCTACCTCAGTGCACAATGTGTTGAGTTTTTATTTATAAAAAAAACAAAACAAAGGTAGCCTAAAATGTCGACGTGCTGTGCGGATAGTCTGAAGTAGGGCTCTGCACGGAACTGTTTCGTAATGCCGCTCCCATTTAATTTCTGACCATTACCGCCCGCTCCCACGATTTTTTTTTTTTGTGGCCGCTCCCACAAACATTCTTATATTGTTTATAATTTTCACGCTATCAATATGCAGGTATTGAAATCGCTTTTGAATGTGCACTCGCTGTTCACTTTCGATTTCGCGTTCATGCGCACTCTGTGTAAAGGAGCACATCTAATCTTACAAGATCAGATATTTGTCAGTGAGTTCAGGATCTGCTGAGCAGCAAATACTCCAGCATGGTCTGTCAGTCATCTATCCTACTCTTGACCTGTGATCAGTCAAGCTCGTGTTGGATGCAGGGTTGCAAAGTCTGCATTTTTTCCACAGAATCGGGCTGCTTTTAAACTGATTGCCTGGGGTGTAATGATACACGTATTCGTATTGAACCGTTCGGTGCGCGGGTTTCGGTTTGGTGCGCATTATAAACCGAGTGATTCGTTGGACTAGTGCCACTGCGCTCAAGGTAGCACAAACAACGTAACCTCCACCAAAGAAAAACACGCTGCTCCAGTCAGGCATAGGCTGGACTAGATCTTTCGTTGCAATATGGCTTCTAACTAGGGCTGGACAATTTAATATCAATATATATGGCACTATAATTTTTTGAAGCACTTTTCTTTCAATCTATAAGAATAATCAACCTATGTTATAGTTATAGTAAAGTTAAATATATTAATATTAAGGTGAGCCTGAGAGTCTTTTACATTTATTTGACAGTGATTTCACTTTTTTTTTTTTTTTGTTTGTTTGAAGGCGAAATACAAATAAAATGTGAACATTAGTTTGTGTATCTCCCCCC